TGATCCTGCTTCAAGTCTCATCAATTAAAACTATGTCATCCATGAATATACACCATGTCATCTCATCTTATAGGTGCCTAGTTAAGTAATTCATGACTAAGACAAAAAAGTATGGGCTCAATTCTGACCCCTAATATAGACCTATGGTCACTGAAAACTCACTTGTCTATCTACTATGTGTTCGTGCACTAGTTACTGACTATTTTTTTTTTAACACCCATCAAATTAAATATTGATGTACTTTATTTATCGTAAACTTTCCCTAGTTATTTACACACTAGTTTCTCTTAAGTGGCATGAGCTAAATGATGTAAATAAGTTTGTTTTTTTGTTTGTTTGTTCATGGTTAGGACTAGACTTTTTTTAAAAAAAAATTTAAAAAACCTGTTATGGGTTCTTGAAAAATATTTATATCATTTAGCTTAAGTGGATTAAGTCGAACAATTTGTCTATACCCATTTGGGGTAAGGAGTGAGAAATACACTTTTAATTAAAAATTCTTGAGCTGGTCTCCGTACCTTGGACAAGTAAAGATATTTTACATCATTTGACTCGAGCCAGTGGCCACATAAGTGGAGGCAGCTGGATCATTCTAGTGGTATTTCACAAAGTGTAAGATAACCAATTTATTGCTAAGTTTGTTTATTTGGCCATTTTAGTAATGCCACGGTTTTGATTCTTCTGAATTTTTTGAAGAAGTTCGTAATTGTTATATTTATTATAAGATAACATAATTTTTTTTAGAAGTATTATCTTACAAATTATATATGTGATATTTATTAAAATAGAATAAATAAAATTTTAAATAATAATTCTCTTTTTGTTTTTTTTATCCATCTTATATTTGTAATAGTTATCCCTTTTGCAATATGTCACAATATTAAGAAGACCCTACATGGTAGTATGGGGTCGGAAAAGATCCCAACAAATTAGGCAAAAACACACGTAACTACTATCAAATTTGTAGTGGGGCAAACATGTTTAAGACGCATTTAGTAGGGGTTAAGGATGAAGTTGTTGTATGTCATGATGTCCCTTAATGTGAAGAAGTAGATAACTCTTCTTAATGCCAACAAAGATAAGAAGGTAGCTAAACAAATGATAAGTGATGTTAACCCCTACATGTCATCCAATGTGAGGGGAGCAGATGAGTAACGATAAGAGTAGACTTGGAAGAAGTGCAGCGTCAAGAGAGTAGCATGGGCACGTATAGAAGGGTCGGTAGAAATAGCATGGGTATATACAGAGGGGCCTGCATGGGTATGTACTAAGGGCATCTGGTGGCAGTTCTAGTGTGACAGAGGGGTCGTGAATGGCTACCGTGTCCCATGCATTATGTGTCGAGAAAACTACTCTTGCCTTATCTAGGAGTGCTAGTGTCATGAAAGCTTGGGTATATACAGAGGGGCCTGCATGGGTATGTACTAAGGGCCTAAGGCATCTGGTGGCAGTTCTAGTGTGACAGAGGGGTCGTGAATGGCTACCGTGTCCCATGCATTATGTGTCGAGAAAACTAATCTTGCCTTATCTAGGAGTGCTAGTGTCATGAAAGCTAGGTGAGGAGCTCATAGCGGACTTGCTCAGCCCACAACTCAGAGTCATATTGATCCATTCCTCTCGAAGCCCAAGTAACGAAAGATGAATATCCCATTAGCATGCAATCCTCTCGAAGCCCAAGTAGCGAAAGTTGAATATCCCAGTAGCATGCAAGGGGAATAGTAACGAGGGCCACGGGAAATCGGTCTACAATCAAGGGGGTCCTTTTCCATGTTGCCAACAGTCTGTATTACGAAGTCAACAGCTGATGTCATTCAAAAGGCGGGGCCTAGGGTTAAGTCCCCATGACATATGAGCTCGTTGGGTCGATCTTCGATGACGAGGTGAAAGATGTTAGAAAATTCATTGGGAACTTTAATGAAGTTTTAGCGGAGAATAGACATCATCATCATGACTTATGGTTGGAGAGACAAAGTTACTAAAAAAAATTATCTAAATATTCTCATTCATTGCCCATATAATGACTTTCATATTCAGCAAAGAGGTCACGGTGATGAAGAAGGAATTGAAGCCCTGAGTATAATTAATGAACCAAATAGTTGAGGAGGAAAGAGAAAAATATATAGTTTAGATTATTGCCAATAATGCTAGGTCGTGTATTTCTACGAGTGTGAAGATGATGCTCAAATGAAAGCATCTAGTGTGGACCCCATGTTCTTCCCATTGCATTGATTTTATGTTAGTGAGAGGCAAGATCATGACTATGAAGGAGACTGATGATGCACAAAGTGTATCAAGTGGACAAAGTGAAGAGTATCCTCGTTAGAAGCAACGGATTCCTCTCAATTGTGGTGTATATTTGGAGGATATAAACCCTAGGAGGGCTACCAAGAAGAGTAAGAAGAGCAAACACCACTTTGGATGATTTTCTAGCCATACTAGGGTTTTTTATTTATTTATTTATTTTTTATTTGACTATTTTTAGAAATATTATTAAAGTTAGGGTGTTTATGTTTCCCTTATTTTAAAGTTGGGACTATTTTCTTCAGTACAAGTTAGGCCTAGGATATTTATGTCTTTTATGTTTAAGTTAGAACCTTTTGGTTGATTTTTTATTAGTATGGATAAAAAAAGTACTCGAATATTTAAAATTGAAAAAAAAAAAACCTTCTGCTTTTGGAACCCAAGTTTGGATTACAGAAAAAACCCTATGTTTCTCCAAGTTATGACCTATGTTTAGCCTAAAATTCTTCATGATTCATTGTTTTCTCAAATATCCTTTAGGTACTCTGAGTTGGGCGGTATCAAAATTCATCGATATGCTTCACTTGATAAGACAACAACACTAGGAGTAACGCCTGCAATCATCTGCTTTGTGACAAAGTACTTGGCAACGAATTCTATTCTATACCCACAAGCCACGTTGAGAAAGTTATTTACTTCTAAAGGAGGTCTATTCTATACCCACAAGCCACGTTGAGAAAGTTATTTACTTCTAAAGGAGGTCGATAGATTGCCTCTCAAGGTCCGAGTAATATTGGAAGGCATAACCACTTATAAGAGGCTATGGTCTAGGTTTTCTGGTATTGTAGGGGCACAATGCTTTTAGTGATATTATTAAGAATGGTGGATGCTGACAAAAAATCCACCATATAAATTTTTTAAAAAGAAGCAATATAGTTTCGCAACCAAAGTGATTATTGTTGAGAGTATATGAACTGATTAATTATGCAAACCAATTCACAATATCGATAATTGCTTATTTATACAATTAAAATTTATTTAATGTTTCATCACTTGAGTACAAATAGTCTCTTGATCTCCTTCTTGTCTAGATTTCTATTTCTATCCCAAAATTTTCTATTTCAATACTTGTGTGAGATACATCATTGGAAGATTGGGAAGAAAGAAGGAACAGGAATCAAATATAGTCATTGAGAGAGGTAAGAGTTAATATTTCATATAGAAATCCAAAAGACTAGGTACATTTGTGAGGAAAAATTATAGCATAAACATTTTTTTTTAGCTTTCTATTTATAGGATGCAGAAGGCTCATTCGCAAGCAGACTTGCTAAGACCTCTCGAATGATATGAATCTAGTTTCTCTTAACTAATGTGTTCTTTTACATCTTTAATATTAAAATGTTACGACCATTTTAGTTGTATGGTGGGAGGTATATGGTTTTGACATACCACTTAAAGGAAGATGGCTTTCTTAAACATGTTTAGCTATTGGGTGTTAGAAAAACGGGATTACATGCTGGTGGTTGCACAATCATAAAGGAAATCGACTGACTTTAAACAGGCTTCAAAAGCTCGAATATGTTCATCATAATTTAAACCTTTAAGAGTTACAAATAATAGAGAAAATTGGAGAATTACAACCCGATCAACCTAGTTCCAATATTTGTCACAGATATAGCCGATAAGTGGTTGGTGGAAGAATAAAAACTAGTGCTATGTAAGATAACATTTCTTGAGGCAACATGTGCAAAAGATGACCAAGAAGTTGTAGACGAGCAGGGAGGAGCAAATGACCAGCTAGTATTCCAGTCATTCATAGGAAATGTAAGTGGTCATGTACCTATTGAAGAAGAAGGGGGAGGAGATGAGGAGGGTAGATGAGAGAGAAGATGATTATGAACTTATCCAGTCCCAGCCAAGATATGCAACCCAAGCCCTAGCAATAGGCAGGTGGGGGCAAGCACAAGGGTGGACTACCTGAGAGACTTCAGGCAAGGAGAGCCGTTCACCATGCCCAATTCATTCATGAACCACTAAAGTATTCGTTAGCGAGGTTCAAGTAAGTCTGAACACACATACTTAGAAATCAATTGCCTAAATGATTTCTCTCAATAATTCAACAAGTAGAATCAACATTTTAAAGACAATGAAGCATGGTGCCTTTTGGTATTAGGTTGTCATCTTATAATTATATACTCCATTTTGTATTATGTATTCATATATTTGATAATTGTATGCTCCATTTTGATTGTGAAAATGAATGTAACACTCAATAATAACCCAAACAAAAAACTACCTCAGTATTGATGTATTTTTTTAGAATAATAAGATTCTATAAATACAATGACCCCATTTTTATTTTTGAAAACGTAAAAGACATTTATCATGATTTTTAAAAGTCCTTTGAAAATTTTTAAGGCCGAATCGAGCCAAACTGGCCGATCCATAAATCTAGATGGCTGATTTGCCAATCCAAACCAGCTTCCCAGATGGCCAATTCACCCAGAAAATCTGGGTTTAAAACACTAGTTTAATCCATTTATTCTTTAAAGATTTAAGCTTACAAAATGATGTAATCTTGGAAGGCTACATGGATTAAGGATCCTTCAAGCCAATGCCAAGGCTAAAGTTTTGAGCTTAATTCTGAGCTTTTTATTTCAGGCATTTCCAAAGCGTGAAGGGATTATGCTTACTTTATAATTCAATGTAAGGCACATTTCTGAGTTCTTTCATAAATAAATAAATAAAACAATATTAAGTTCCATCAAATGCTAACAAAGCCTATATATTGATTTCTTTCTAACAAAATCACATATTGTTCAGTTATATATCTTGATATGTGCTGAATGCACTCTCATTCTTCCTGAAACATAATTTGGTTTACATGAAACCTCAATATAGATCATAAAAGATCCTCGACAGCAAACTTTATAGGAGCAGCTTCTATCATGAAGAACACGAATAGCATTTCCTAGGCTTCAAAGAACTCCAAAAGTTTGTCATGCCAAGATGCCACCAAGAAGGGGAACTAATCAAAATAGTTATACAGGAAAGGGAGTAGACTAACTCTGCTAATGCAGTCCCGATGAATTCTATCAACTCTTCCCTGGTAAGTTCTCAAAATTGTCATCATCCTCGATGAACTTCTCTTGCACAGCTGCTGTTGTAAAGTAGAGTGTCAAGGAAAGAATATCGGCCTCAAAATGAAGAATGAAAGGGAATGGAAAAATCATTGCATGATAACTAAAGGAGAAGCAATAAATAAACGGATAGATAAAAAGGATATCTGTAGTAATCCCAATCCAAAGGGCCAGCTGCGATTTTGCTGAACTCAACGGCACTCCCTTCAATGCCGGCAAAAATATACCCATTGCTCTTGTCTATCAACTTTACGAGATTTCCAACACTCTCTTTGTCCTGATGATTTTGAAAATGTTACTCAACCCATGAGGGCACCACCAATTAAAGTGCACATACACCATAATTCAATAGACTACAGAGAACCATAGGCCATTGGATCATCGCCCATTTCATTGGATGGTGAAATCGATCATCAGGATCATGTCCTGAACTTATTTGACAGTGATGACGCCAATGAACTGGTGTTACAAACCCAATGGAATACAGTTTTCAATAGTCCATTGGATTATAATTACAATTCTCTTTAAACAAATCCATAATTGACGATGTTTCTCAAGAATGGTCAGAATCCTAGCATGCCTGAATATCCAGTGTGGTGAAATTGACCAGACCATAATCTTCAATAACCTCGCATAGCTCTTTGGTGAGTTTCCTGCAAAGGAAGAGTGAGGTAGTTTTGGCTCAAGCAAAGTGAGAAATAAGGCCTGTTGTGGAAGCACCAAACCTGTACTTGGCAGAGCGTGGATCTTGATCAAGGTGGTATTGCAAATAAGACAAGTCCTGCACATCTGTATAAAACTCCAGGTTGTAGGCTGCAATTTAAGTAATGCATGTCGAGGGTGAGGAATAAGTCAATTTAGTAAATATAGTAGAAGGGAAAGCACATCACTGCCATTGGACTATGGTACATGATACTCGAAGTCAACATCCACTCTTCATCCCCACAGATGAATGGCTGGAGATTGATGCAGATTGCAGAAAGGGGCCCACAGGGACATTCAACTAGAGAGGGTTGACAAACAACTGTTCCACAGTGGGAACACACCGTGGATGCAGCTTGGAGTACCCTTTTTTTGTTTGGATAAGTAAGCACCAAATAATATTGTCCAGACGTCTATGACAAACTTTCTTCCCAGAAAAAGAATTCATCTTCATAGTGATTATAAATTAGAAACAACTTTGTGGGTTTTCCCTTCATAAAATTACAAATGTGGCCAACTTTGACTGTACCTAGTTTGCCATAGCTCTCGATGAGATCTATTTTTGAGAGGACATTGATATGGGGGAGTTCCAAATGCAACATGGTTGTCAAAGAGAGAAGTAATGCGCTCACATATTTCCCAGAGTCACTGCAAAGATGAGCATCAACCAAGTGAACTGCAGTCAACTGCAAAGAAGGAATACATATTAGCTTCTGATAAGGGGATGTACACCATGATCCAATGTACTGTAGTATATGGTAATCCAAAAGGCAGCCCCCATCCATGCCTGATGATGAACTTCGGAGATTAGCCATAACTGAGCCCCACCGGGATATTCACCCAGGTAAAGTAAATCTCTTACCATCATTTATTGGTAGTGGACGGTGAATGCCATATTCCATTGGATTAAGGTATATTTTTGTTCTGCTAATTGGGTAAACGGGTAACAAGTTACTCTAATTGTGTCAACCGTTACTCATTAACATAAGACATGTTCTAGCACAAAATTAGCATACCCTGAGATCCAAAGACTTAATGAGTTTCATGATGACTTTCTTAGCATTTGAATGAAGAAAGAACAGTTCCACTTGCCCAGGGAAATCAAAAAGAAGGTAATGATCTGCAAGATGAAAGCTTCAAAATTAAGGAAATAAAAGACCACAATGAACACTTGACATATCCATATCAATTAGGAATAGATAAGATACTAACCCATCAAACTCACTAGAAAAAATTCAAACTGCATGACAAAACAGCAAAAGTAATTCTCAGCAGGGATAGTATGATTCATGAACACAATTATATTTTAAAGAGAGTGGTTGCATTTTAACCTATAGTATCACATACTAAGCTTCATGGACCAACAAAGTGCTGCAGTACTTGAAACAATTTAGAGTAAATAATCAACTGTCAGGAAGTATTGAGTTCATTGATAGTAAACTTCAATGCCAAAGTATATTATGCCGACTGGCACATCCATTTCACTCAAATTGTCATAGCAATTCGGCAACTCAACTCACCAGAGTCGAGTGAACAAGGTTTAAAAACCTACAAGTGTCATAAATGCCTACAAGTGTACAAAAGAATTTCATTCTTTGGCCAAGTCATAGAGACATTCTCAACTTTGCTCTCAATGCATAACTTTGTTTTGTTCCCATGAATGAACTTAGATTTGAGTTCTATCGAATTTCTTTGTCCAAAGGGGTAAAAGGATCCGAGTAGCATGTGGTGATGTAGACTGTAGAAACCTTGTGAAGTTCATTTTAAAATCAAGGAACTTTTGATGAACCAGAGTTTCATAAGACACTGCTGAATTTGTATTGAAAAGCACTATAAATTATCTGTTTCGCTAAGCGAGGAAATACTTATATGTTGCATAATTGACTCAAAAAGATTATGTCAGTGCATAAATTCATTGTTTTCATGTTTTTTGCGCCATTGCTTCATGAACACTGTTGAATTATATTGCTTAGAAAGCAATCTATGTAGTTTGGTCTTTCTGTACATTAAAAGCATTTTTACATTTCTCAGTGTACTATGATCAAGTTTCAGTAAAATTTTCAATTATATAAATTGAGCAGAATTGTTCGTGCTCCACAAATAAAAAAGAAGAAAAGAAATTGAGCCATATGCAGGACTTTGTTTATCTAAAATTTTGGGCATTCTTCAAGTTCTGATCATTACCATGCTATACCGACTTAATGTTCACTTGTATCATCAGGGAATCCAATACCCAATATCTGCTATTTATTTTGGAAAGAGGGAAACAATAGATCACCTTCTACCATATTGCCACCATGCTCTTTAAGTTTTGAGTTTCTCTTTGGCCCTATTTCAGATTAGCTGGGTCATGGTTGAGTTGGTTAATGGTCAGTTATGATGTTGGAAAGGATGAATGCTATGGAGACTGTCTGCCAATGATTCTTTGGGTTTCTGGAAGGAGCAGAATGGAGGAATTCTTTCAGGCAAAAACTCGATGTTCGGTGCTATTTGATAAGATTAGAGATGTGACCATTACATGGGCTATGGCCATGCCTTTGTTTTGTTGAGCCGGGCCTGGACTTCCTTTCTAACTGCAGGTGCTGTAGTGCATAAGGCAGAACCTCAGAGTTAAGACCGGACCAACCTCCCTGTGGAACCCACAATTGCCTAGCTTTATCAAGCTAAAAGTTGATGGTAGTCTTCGGCAAGCCTGGGCCAGCTGGGTAGGTGAAGTATTAAGGGATTGCACAGTATGCAGTTGCTTTCAGGTCCCTTGGGAGTTCATGACTTCAGAGGCAAAGGCACTTGCACTTCAAAGGTCGATGTAGTGGACTTGCTAGTGCAACAAGGTTGCACAAAGCATTGAAAGGAAACTAGAACAAACCAAAGTCCATGTCAGACAAGCATTAGGAAGACTTAGATCCGAGGGCTATGAGCACTATTCCATTGTGTATATTAAGTGACATGATGTATAACGTCATTAAAAACGATTTGGTGGCAAAAGTTTGAGTGAAGCTTGAGATCTTGTATAAGACAAAGTCCCTCATGAATCGGTCATAATGGAAGCAACCACTGTACACCCTAAGGATGAACGAAGGTAGGATATCCTAGACCATCTGAATTAATTCAATACAATTATTTGATAGTAGTTGACCATTGATGTTAAGATGGAAGATGATGATAAGGCACCAATCCTATTTTCCTAGCTCCCTCAGTTGATGACCATCTTGTCACAATGTCACTCAACGGAAAAGAAAACATATAAGATGAAGGATAATTGAAACTCCTCTCAAATAATTTGAGAAAGAGACAAGGTAATGCACAGCCACAAGGAAAATTTGATGGCTAGAGGGAGGTCTATTGAAAGAAAACAAAGGGGACATGAAAGTTAGGGTAGATTTAGATCTGAATCCAAATCACAAAAGGGTAGTGCTTGGTGTTAATAATGCAGGAAAAAAACGTTATATAAAGGACTGTCCAACCCCAAAAGAGAAGGAGAACAAAGCCTCTGATGCGACCAAATTGGTGATGGAGGCTCAAACAGTGCAACATAAAACATATTGTCAGTTTTGATGAGCTGTGACTATTCTATAGAGTTAGGAATATTTAATTAAGCATGTTCCTACGATATGTGCTCTCGTTGGGACTTGTTCATAATAAGCAAGAGCTCCAATGGTGGATCCATTTTGATGTGGAATGTAGCGGTCTGTAAGACTATTGGTGAAGTGACAATTAACATCAAGATGTATGATGAAGTCCTGAGAGCCTTGGCTAAGGTAAACTACATTTTATATCTGAAAAAAAAAAAAACAATTAACATCAAGATGTATGATGAAGTCCTGAGAGCCTTGACTAATGGAAACTACATTTTAGATCTGAAAAGAGAAAAGAAGAGTCTCCTTAGGTGCCTTAAACTTCAATAAGCTCCAAATTTGTTGGAGAAGGGGTAGTTATGAAAAGCAAGAAGATTGGACCGAATTTCTATGTGTTGCTTGAGAGCACCATCATGGACGGATCAGCAGTTGCTATATTTGATGGTTTCCATATCTGATGGTGGTGATTCCAACTTGATTCCATTTTAGCATATGTGGCTAGGCCACATAAGTGAGAGGAGTTTGGCAGAATTGAGCAAATGTAACTTGATCAATGGGATGAAGAAGTAGAAGTTGGGCTTCTATAAGCATTGTGTCTATGGGAAGCAGTGTACGGTGAAATTTAATACCTTGGTGCATACCACAAAAGACATCCTTGAGTATGTTCATTCAGATGTATAGGGCCTTCCCTTGATTGTCTCAAAAGGAGGATCTTTGTACTTTGTTTCCTTCATATATGATCTCTCAAAGAAGGTGTGGGTTTACACCTTGAAGAAGGAGGCTGGTATGTTTAACACGTTCAGGCACTACGAAACAAAGTCGAAAAATAGACTGGAAATGGGTCAAGTGCTTGAGGACCGACAATGATGAAGGGTACAATTAAGTAGAGCTTGTGAACTTCTGGAAGACAAAGGAATTGTTCGTCACTACACCACTAGGAAGGCACCAGAACATGATGGAGTTGTTGGGTACGTGAACATGACACTTCTATAAAAGGCCTACAACATGTCGAGTGACATTGGTTTATTGAAGGACTTTAAAGCAGAGAGAGTCATTGAAGTGTACTGCCTTGAAAACAGATCGTCATATACAGCATGTTCATGTGAAGGATGATAAATATAGTTTGAAATTGAAGAAGAGTATTTTCCTCGGTTATGCAGATATAACATAGGTTATTGATTATGGTGCCTAGACCCTAAGTCTCCAAAGTTTATTATCAGTTATAATGTTAAGTTTGATCAATCTATCATGTTGAAGAGCTTCAGAAGGGTGCTGAAAAGTGTGATCATAGAAGTGGTGATGGCATTGAGGTGGAGTTGTGAACACTTCAGAAAATACTCCGAATGACATGCTAGAAATTCTTAGTGAGAGTGGAAGAGAATGTTAAGCCTAAGGAGGCCGTTGAGCTTACTCCACATGATCCTCACTTGTAAGGGGAAAGAGAACCAAGAGGCCAGTGGTGTGGTATGATTATGTGGAGAGAGTGTTTATGCTTTGGCCAAGAACCATTGAATTTTGAGGATGCTACGAAGGATGATAAATAGTATGCAATGTTTAAGAAAGAGTTGGGTGGCCCCTAGGCAGCTAGCATGGCACTCAACGCTCAACGCTCATGCCTAGTCAGGCACTAAGAACTTCAGGTGCCTTGAGGTGAAAACTTTTCAGAGATATGTATATATGTGTTGCCCAATGCATATATATGCAGATATTTCTGTCAATTTTGTATTATTTTTTTCTGTTTTTGCATTTATACATATTCTAACATTTATCATGCAAATATATGCGCATGAATGTTGAAACACGTTCAAAACTGCAAATCAGTGGAAATTTCGTGAAAAACATAAACAAGTCCATAGCGTATTGGTCTCCAACTCTCCATACTCCATAGTGGGATACAATCATCATACACAGTACACATAAACATAGTAACATAGGCTCCAAGTCTCCAATAAGGGCATATACTAAAAATAATTAGAATAGGAAAGGGGTAAGTTTTTTTTTATGCTTCTTCAAACTTTATAAATTTTTTTATTCACAAAATTTGAAAAATCAAATGATTTGGGGTGTCTTTAGTGTTTAGGTATGAGTTTTTCTCCCCTTGAGGGGTTCAGAATACCCCGAAAGCAGCACCCCTTTCACTCTATTTCATGGTCAAAATGACCCAAATTGTCCTCCGGGCCTTTTTTTTCGTCAAAAAGGTGCAAGCCCTGAGCACCCGCCTCGACTGCATGGGCAGTACCTAGGGACCGGAGACCAAGGACAGCTGCTCAGGCCTAGGCGTGTGACATAGGACCCCTTGGGCCCCTAGATGCTGGGGTGGCCCATTTTGAAACATTGGTAGTAGGTGGAGTGATACCATGAATGAAAAGATGGAATCTCTTCAGAAGAACCATACATGCATCTCATGAAGTTACCCAATGGGCAAGAGAGCTATTGTGTGTAAATATGTTCACAAGAAAAAGGAAAGATCACTTGAATCTGGTGGCAAACGATTTAGGGCAAGTTTGGTTGCAATACATCATGCACAGAGGCAACGAGTTAATCA